ACAGTGGGATATTGTATAATTTCCTGTATGTCATTAGCTTGGTTTCAGTAAGTCTATCGCAAATACCGACATTGCCATCTTCAACTACGTGCACATGAAGCCTTCCATCTGTTGTTTGAAGCTTCAAATTTGTTACAGTGTCATAAAATTGGATGTCCCTCAAGCTTTCCCTGATCGCCTCATAAATTTTTGCACTCTTCTCTCGTTGGTAATGCGTGTTGATCAGATCCATTTCCAGGGAGTTTGGTGGCGCATCTCGATAATCAAGCGAGATCGTTACACGCCGCCAAAGGTGATCACGCTCACGATACGTAACAAAAAACTTTTCCCTTTTTGACCGGTCTCTGAAGTGCATACTGAGATTCAGTATCCATGTCTTCTCGAGCTCTTCGTGGATTATAGCGTCGTACTGGGATGCTGTTATTGAACGAGTGTCTGCAGTAGACAAGGTGTCTTGTGCTGGACACTCGTCCGCAAGAGTCATCTCCTCATCCGGATGCAGTATTCCGTCAGCAGGTTCCCTAGGCGGCTCATCCGTAACATCATTGACGGATAGAGAGGGGACAAATCGAGGTATTTCGTCCTGAGGGGAGCCGAGAAAGCTTGGGGCGCTGACACGAGGGTTGGTTGCGGGCTGTGAGGCTGACGGTGATCGTGGTCTGTAAGAGCGTCGGTCCATAGACACAGCTCGTCTTTCATCTGGAGTTGGCTCAATAGGCGAGAGGTTAGTCCTCCTTTCCGATACTTGGCGTTTGAATGTCTGCGCCCGAGGTAGTCCAGGCACAACCCTTCGAGACATTCGGCGAATCAGCCCGCCTTTGTCAAGGTCAGCCGAGTCGGCCTCATGCTGAGGGCTCTTTGGCTGCTCGGTAGGTTTACATGGCGTATTACTGCCACTCTGTCTACCAAAGAGCTTTCGAAAGAATCCCTGAGTACCGGACAATGCATTTGTTTGCGAACGAAGCGTTTGCTGTGGCTCGGACGCTATTACGCCGGCCTGAGCCATGGCCGCGGCACTGCGACCTGCTGCGTACTGCTGTGTTCAGACACAATAAGAATCAATATCAGTAGTTAGCCACGTTGAAATGGCTTAACACTTAATGATTTGGCGATTGCTTAGTGGCGAAAACGCAATTGCAAGTCGATACTTGTGATACGGCATACACCACGCCCTGTATCGTTTCACAACTTTTGACTGTTATAAAAACAAAACCTGGAGATGCATATGGATAAATACCAGCCGTGCAGGTAGGAAACGTATATAATAGCAAAAATAGGTAGAATATGCAAGCCAGCGAAATGGCAATAGGGTGAAAGCCCGCCGAGTAACCACACAAGCACAACCAGCTTATCAATTGAAAAAGAGGTTTTTTGGAGTGAGTAACAGGATAAAGGAAATGTTTGCCTGACTCATTCAAGAGAAAGCAAAGAAAAAACGTTGCTGTGGTCGGTAATATCGCCCGAGGAGGTTGGGATAATAATGCAACGGTCGGTGAAGAGCGGGTCTTGAACAAGCGGTCGAAGTCGCGGGGAACGAAGCCGGAGGCGCAATAAATATCAGTGCATCAGGAGCTTTCAAAAAACAAATATGGTATTATCGTGATGAAATGGGTAAGACTTTTCGGGTGAGATATATCCAAAAAGACCTGAGGCATCAGAATGTCATTGGAAATGGAGCTGCGATGAACGCCCTGCTAATATCAATGGTAAAGATGAGATCCAAAGCCTAAAACGGGCAGCCAACGGCAATAATGGTGGATATGGATTGTGACTGGACAAGAGTGTGTGTGTGGGCTGAGTGGATAGTGGCTCTTAGTCGCGGCGGGACGACACGGGGGGACGGGCGGAGCGGGCGGCGGAGGCGCTGGGCTTCTGACGTTTAGGCTTTCATTATTTTGGGCCTCTCTAGCAGCCTGAGCCACACTAAAGACGTGGGATTCGTGATGACGCCGTAGCTGGACCGCCCTACGAAGGGGCTGGATGCCATGAATTGCAACGCGAGGCATGTGTGCGACTGCTCACTTCGCTGCAAAGCCACCACTGCCCAAGCCTAACTAAACCCAAGCCTAGGCCTAGGCCCAGATGTCAGCGCAGGGCTGTGGTTGTACTTTGCCCCAGACTTGCCGAAGAGCGTCAGGGGTCGTTGCTTGACTGGACGACAGTTGTGCATGGTTTTGGGCGTGGGTGTCGCGACTGTGGTCCATTCATCCCACCATGCCGGAACCTTCATTCTTTGAAGCCACCCAAAGGACCCTGCTAGGCGAGCGATTTCGACCATGGCAAGCAAGCTGTGGCCTGGTCTTGCTGCGTGCGTCTGCTGCTGCAGGGTCATACTTTCAAGAGAGACGGTGACGCTGGACGGCTTGCGGTGGGGAACCATCGATGAGCTGGCCCCTTTCAGACGCCCTTGTCTCGTCCCATTCTGTCGACGCTAAACACGAGTTTGCGTCTCTTTGAGCGCAGGGGAAGGCGGTGATGCATCATTAGGCACGGAGAAAGATTCTGGTCAGGCATAAAGAGCTGCGAACGGATATCGAAAATAGCCGGCGTCATTTTATCTTGGTGATGGATGTGAAGGTGTAAGAGTGCACGGTTCTTTGAGTTGGTGTGATTTAGCATCCCAATCTGTATCACGAGAACATGACTGACAGGGAAAGGAAGTGCTCTTTGAAACCTTCCCTTGCCAGAAAGAAAAGAAGTCGGGAGAGAGGAAAGACCCAAGTTCAGTCAACGGAAGGTACGAGCATGAATTCACGAATGGGAAACCCCGATTACTGTGCAGATAGACGACTTCCCAAAACAAGCAGGGTAGGCACAATGGCACTGTAGACAGGCGTATCAGATAGCATCATTAATATCAAAACACCAACTTCCATTCTCTCAGAATCACCAGAAAGCATCATTGTCTCACCTAATGACATCACTCTCCCTCAACACTCGGCAATCAACGTGGTCTGCTCAAGGTAGAGATCATGACAGCTTCACTCATGGGTTATGCCGCATCCTTGACAATAACCCACAAGCAAGCCATCTTCCTATGGGGAAAAAACTAAAGTGTGAAGTCATCCAGGCAAGGCACGCGTATCTTGCCGAATATTGCACTCATGTAGGTGCGTGTCATTCTGAGCTGCTGACCCCAAGACTCGAACCATAAGACGGATGATCTAGATGTCCTGTAGGCTCCAGTCCAACTGCATACGAAAGCGACGGCGCCGTCTAAGCCAGGTAATCTCAGCTTTGCTGACCGCCCTGTTCAACCTTCTGTTCACTGTCTGGTTTCATGGTGTCCTCGGCAGGTTCTCAGAGTTGGTCAGAGCAGGGCGAATTCAATCAATGGCTAGCTCGTGGTAGCCCGGCACTCGAAATGCCAAGATCTTATGTCGCATATTCGGAAAATAGCGAGCTCGAGGCACTGGACTCCATGCATTAAGCAACATGCCAATGCAAATGCAAAGTCTGAGGCGTACGCATAGAAAGCAATGCTCAGATCCAGAGGAGTTGGCAATGGCATGCATCATGGTACGAGACAATTAATTTGCCATTGTCGTATCAAAATTCGCTTCTGGTCTTTTACCGGATCCCAGTCAAACGTCACAGTCTTCTCTCACCAATGGAGATGTGATATGCAATATCTCCAAATCAGGAGCAAATGGGTGCCAGTGCCCAATGCGACTTTACTATGACGGGCTCGATTTTATCCAATTCGCGCACACCCTCAAGCACCTCCCTCGATGAGGAAATACCTAAGCTTGCCGACACCTTAGTTGGTTCAATTCGCTCGTCTTCTTCCCTCTCGTCTCAATTTTCGAACAGGTCACGTCACACAAGCACTCCAGGAGCTTTCAGCTTTACAGGAAACTGTACTGCGGCCGAGTCTGAGGCCCGATCCACCAGGCAAGATCCCACAAGAGCCTCGCGTGGGGTCAGGCATGAGTGCAGCACAAGAACGGCCCGCTAGAACAACGCTCAAGTGAGGCTACCTGCACTTGACAGGTTGTCGGTTCGCCATGCAAGCAATAGGGCCGCAACACACCACTAGCCCGTATGTACAAACGGGCTTCCAGACGTCTTATAGGCTTCGGTTGGGTGTCAATCAAACTCTTATGCGATGGCTATACCAGCATGTTTAGCTCGTTTGATGGATTAACATGAAGCTTCACAGGACTCAACAATCTCATGAGATCGTGTCAAAAGATGCGACATGACAAGAAGGTGAGATACGACTTCAGATCACAATCCATTGTCGTTATCAAACTTTCCCTCGGCTAGGCTCGTCCCGTGCCTGGCTCCACAGATCCCGCGCCACAGACAAGATGAGATCTCCCAGAGCCTTGGCCTAGCTAAGGTACAAACCAGGATCATCATTCTGGGGAACCATCTGGTGGCATCCGGATATCTACTGCGTCAATGAGGTTGAAAATACCATGGACCTTGTCGATCCAATGGCCCAGAGACAATTTCAGACCTGTGACAAAAGGTCCTACCAAAATTCCTGGCATACTCTATGCTCAAAGGTTGTCACCACCTCGCAGGCCTCGAACTCTACCAAAGCAGTGTTCTTCGTCACCAACCATTACGCATCGTGGCTGGCATCGTAAACACTTACTAAGTTTAGGGACAGATTCTTAATATGTCTGCGATATAACGATCAGCATCATTGACTCGGGCAGCACCTTGTGATCATAACATCATACGCCCGAGCCGGGTAGTAAAGTAGAATGACGTCGCTTTCCTATATATACAATTATACATGAAGGCGTCAACTACACGCTGCCTTGTGACACCCCAAACAAACCACTAATGCATGCTTCTAATAGTACAATTTCCTCATTTTGGGAATAACAAGAGTAGGAGTCTTTATATCGTTCATCTAAATTTCTCGCCCATGCCCAAACGCCCTTCAAATCAGGCCCTGCAGCGTTCATGAACATCAACCTTGTTTCAGTTGGTGCTAGATGATAGCTGCCAGGCTAGAATGCATCAATGCCTCGTTCGGTATTTTAGTCCTCCTCTTCAGCTGACTCAGAGTCGTTCTTCTTCTGCTGAGCCTTCCACTCGCAGATCTTGCATGTGTTGGCCTTCTCCTTATCGACGTTTGGGAAGACAAGGTCAAAGACCTCAGGGTACCAGGCCACAGCATGACCTTCAAGACCCTCCTTGATGTTCTAGAAGTATTCGTTAGTAACCGGAAATTAGATACCGGATAAGATGGGGAAACATACCTCAGGTAGCTCTAGCCAGTCAGACATGTTGTCCTTGGGGAAGATGATGGTCTTGCAGCCAGCTCGTCGAGCAGCAACAGTCTTCTCACGAAGACCACCAATGCGTAGTACCTTTCCAGTGAGTGTGATCTCACCAGTCATGGCAACTGTAGGATCAACGGGGGAATCGAGAGCAAGAGAAAGGAGTGAAGTAGCCATTGTGATACCAGCTGAAGGACCATCCTTGGAGACGGCACCATCTGGAACGTGCAGATGCATCTTTGCCTTGTCGAAGAAGTGGTTGTCAGGGAACTGCTTAACCATGAAAGACTTGGCGAAAGAGTAGGCAATGGTAGTAGATTCCTTCATAACATTTTTGAGGTTACCGGTGATCTCGAGGTGAGGTCGTGTAGATGGTCGGAGGGGAGCCTGGAGGATGGATTCGATATACATGGCAGCACCGCCAAGTTGTGTCCAAGCGAGGCCCATGGAAACACCGGGAGGGTTGACCTCGTAGAGACGGTCAGAGGTGAAGACAGGAGGTCCAACGTAGTCGGTGAGGTTATCCTTGCCGATAACAACATGGACAGAGTCGGGGACGTTGAGTGGCTTGCGGGGCTTCTCCGTAGTCGCGCCAGTTTCGTTAGAGGTGGACTCCTTGCCCTCGGTGACCTCCTCGGTCTTGCTCTTCTTCTCAGCCTCCTCAAGAGCAGACTTGCCCTCCTCGGTGAGGGCCTCCTCTTCAGGCAAAACTTCCTCGCCGAGCTCCTGAACGATCTTGAGGGCGGACTTTCGGTAGACCTTCTCGATCTGCTTCTTAAGGTTTCGCACACCAGACTCACGGCAGTATGACTTGATGAGCTCCTCAATTGCCTCCTCGCTCAAGTTGACATCAGCGTTCTGAAGTCCAGCAGTCTCCTTGGCAGCGGGGGCAAGATATCGTTGGGCGATGGCCATCTTCTCGTCGGCAACGTAACCAGAGAGGGTGATGAGCTCCATGCGGTCGAGCAGGGGTCGAGGAATAGTGTCAGTCATGTTGGCAGTGCACACGAACAAGACCTTAGACAGATCAACAGGGACATCCATGTAGTGATCCAAGAAAGAGCTATTCTGCTCGGGATCGAGCAGCTCCAGCAGAGCAGAAGAGGGATCGCCCTGGTAACCTCGGCCAATCTTGTCGATCTCATCGATCAGAATGAGGGGGTTCTCAGTTTGACACTTCTTCAAAGCCTGGATCATACGGCCAGGAAGCGCACCAACATAGGTCCTTCGGTGACCCTTGATTTCAGCAACATCTGTGAGACCACCGACACTAAATCGGTAGTACTCGCGGTTAAGAGCTCGGGCAATCGACTTTCCAATACTTGTCTTACCCACACCAGGAGGTCCGACGAAGCAGAGGATCTTGCCCTCGACAGTGCCTCGAAGCTTGCCAACAGCGATGAATTCCAGAATGCGGTCCTTGACGTCCTTGAGACCGTGGTGGTCCTCGTCCAGAATCTTGACTGCATTAGGGATGCCAAAGTTCTCGGCACTCCTCCTGCCCCAAGGAATCTGGGTGAGCCAATCTAGGTAGTTCCTTGTGACGTTGAACTCGGAAGCGGCTGTCTCGAGATGAGCAAGCTTGTTAAGCTCTTCATCGAAGACCTTGCGAACTGCCTCGGGCATGGCAAGGCTGTTGGCCTTCTCCTTGAACTTCTCGACGAGCTTGTCCTTTCCATCGGATTCCAGGCCAAGCTCACGACGAATGCCCTTCATCTGCTCCATAAGCCAGTACTCGCGCTGCCTCTTACTGATCTTATTCTCGACATCCTTGCTGATCTTGGACTGTAATTGGGCATTCATGAGTTCCTTCTTCAGCACCACAAGAGCCTTCTGCATCCTCTCCTCGACGTTGAGGCAGCCCAATACCTCTTGCAGCTCCTTTTGCTCGCCTGAGGACACGGCAGCGGCAAAGTCGGCGAGCTTAGCGGGTTCCGATGTAACATTTCCGGTTGATTGACTCATAGAGAAAGTGGAGATCTGGTCTCGGAAGAGATTGTTCATTGTGGCGACTTCCTTGAAAACGTTGACAATTTCGTTGGTGACGGCGCGAATGACAGGGCTCTTGGGGTCGTATGGCTCATCGACAAGGTTCTCGACGTTGACCAGACTGACGGGGTATCTCTTGAGGAATGATGTTGGCTCATACTTTTCGGCAGTCTGGTCAGGCTTCTTCTCGACAGCGCTCTCCTCGAAGCTGGCAACGACATCTCCCTTCTTCTCGGGAGTAGCCTCTTCCTCTGCGGGCTTCTGGGGAATCGGTTCGGGTGTGGGCTCGGCCTTGGCATCAGTCTTCTTAGTAGTATCTTGGCCACCAGGGGGTAGTAGACTGGATAACTTGATACGGCGATGGGGGTAGAGGATGGCAGTGAGGGCACCTTCTTGGCCGTGGATGGGGAAAGCACTTGTAATCTGGGCGAAAACACCAACATCGTAGACGTCCTCGGGGTTCCTGATCACATCCTCATCCTCGTTCTCGTCCTTGAACAAGAATGCACCAACGTATGGCTGACCACGCTTAATCGACTCGGTGATTGCATTGGCCACCTCGGGGTCCTTGATGGTAATAGCCTTGTAGAAGCCAGGGAAGAGTGGTCTTCGAGCAATCGGGATTGCTAGGACTTGGGGGTAGACTTCAGGGACGACAGGCTTCTGGAGAGCTTTCTCGGCAGAGGGCTTTCTACCGCGACGACCTCCGTCACCACCTGAGTTGTCACCTCCAGATCCAGATCCAGCACCTCCAGCAGCACTTCCCGCCTTTCCATCGTTCGATTGCCCGGCGCTATCGTTCTTTCCAGAGCCAGGTGAATCGGGGCCTGGATTCCTCGACTCGGCCAGTAGTGGGCTGTCGGCTTCCCTGCGCTTGTTCTCGATGTTCGCCTTGGCCTCCTCGTCAGATAAGGGCTCCGTCAATGGCTCTATCGCAGACTCGAAGAAGCCCTTGTCGTTGCTGTCCTTCTCTTTGGTGACTCGGGCAGATGTGGAAAAGGCAGCGGCGACTAACCGCGGTTGAATGGCGGGAAGCCGACGACCGCAGATGTGATGGTTGCGGTAGGCGGGAGCAGAAGCCCATCGTGCAGCGGTTGCTTCGGAAGATACTCGTGATGCGTGGACGAGAGAGCGCTCAAGAATGAGGCGGCCCGAGAGGCGTGATCGGGGAATCATGATCGTTGATGCCGCTGCGATTCGATTGTAGCGAACGCGGAGCTAGAGCTAGGATCCGAGGGGTTGAGAGACGACAAGTAGAAGCTCCCCGCGATGGGCAGCTGTAGACTAGGGTAGACTAGACTCGACTCGATTCGACTAGTTGATACAATGAAGAATTAAAGAAGAAGAATAAAGTGTAAAAAGGAGAAGAAATGGTCTATCATAAGCAGTTGACAAGGATAATACAACTAGACTAGCAGCAGGCCGCAATTGTCCGCATCACCGCTTGGCTTGACCCTCGCTTTTGGTTTTGGTTGGTTTTGGTGGAGGCGACTTAATAATCGCGAACTCGGACTTTACTACGGAGTACATCATCCAAAATTTCGATTCCAAGACGTTCCGCGCTAGAGGTAGTTCAGTTTAGTCAGCCACTGACCAATGAGACCCCGCTATCGGCTGTTGCGCCGGCCGTTATCAGATTGCGATACAACTACCGTTGCTCGCGTGCCTCGTGCCTCAGCCCAGAGCCTTCTCGACTTCTACAAGTCTTTCTAATTCTTGTGATTTGGTCAATAAATCTATCTATCTATCTATCTATCTGTTTGATCAGATCAATATGGTATCGTCTCGATTTGATCATCATGACTTGTTATATCGGTCATCATAAGATCATGCTGTCATAGACAGGCAACTAGGGAGCAAGTCAAGAACTAGGAGCTGCAGTAATACCATTCATTACCCAGCCTACCAGCTCAATTATGTATGTTTAGAGTTCTATGCTGGACAGAATCTCAAAGAGATAGACTGGGGCATTATAACCAAATTGGGCTATCTCCTTATTATTAATTAAACGCAATGTGTGCCTTGGCATGGCATGTAGCGTTCCATCCCAGTAAGTAAAGGCAGGCCTTGCAACAGTACCAGATATTACGAGTTGTTTGCTTCGTCATATCGTCAGAATCATATCGGGTGTAATTGGCATTCAATTCAACACCAGTTTAAACACCATGTCCCTTTTCAAACATACACAACATGACTTCTACTGTAGGTCATGAACGGATACAAGTTGATCGACAGTCGAGACTACCCTATACTTCTCCGCAACCAAACTTGGCAACGACTAACAACCTTCCTTCCCCAACTGTATTTCTTTGTTCATGAATTGAAGCCTGAAGTTCTATAAGCTTTCATCCATTCCACCCCATACAATCTTCTCCAAGAGAAACCCTATACTCTGCTCTCAAACCTTGGAAAGCTTTCCCTCTTCACGTTGAGACATATTCAGTTCATTGGTCTCAGCCATGTCACAAGATCAGGACGTTTCAAGCTCGCTCAAGAATCTGTCAATCGACACAAAAGACGAGCCTTCAGTGCTGTCTAAGAAACCAGCTGCCAAAAAGAAGACCAAGAAGGCCGTCGCAGACTCATGGGAAGACTCCGACTCCGACTCCGGCTCTGATGCAGAGCCTGAAGCCGAGCCAGAGTCAAACAAGCCAACTCCAACCACGACGCCTGCACCGCCTCCCCCAACGCCCATGTCTCCCGTCGGTGGCCTACCATGGGAGTCATCTTCAGGAAGTCCCGGCCACCGCGCTGGAGCAGACCCGGATAAGCGGCCTGAGAAGACAGATGCCGTGGCTCGTCGTATGATCGCTGCTGGACTAGGCCTCAAGGCACCAAAGCAGACCGAGGAGCAAAGGGCGTACCAGAGGAGTGTTCGCGAGCAAGAGAAGAAGAGGAGGGAACAGGAGAAAGAGGAGGAAAAGAAACGACAGGCTGATGTTGAGAAGGCAAAGGCAGCTATTTGGGATGATTAACAGATTATCTTATTAACAAGCTTGGAAGACTAGCTCTTGTATCAACTTTATCGAAACCCCTTATTGTCACCTGAAGCAAGGGTCTGAGGGTATTCTTCTACTGGCCTAGATTCAGAGTGCTCTTATCGGCAAATGCGAGGGTTGGTATTGGCATATTGAAGCAAGAGGCAAATATGTGTGAATCCTATTGCATGGAGTCACAAGAGCTTGCAATGCATTTTTCTGCTAGTGACCTGAAGTCAAAGAAGAAAGATATAACATAGAGCACTCACACAAGTTGCCAGGATTCAGAAATATATATAAACAAATCCCTGCTACCGACAACGACGACTCTGCCTAGTCCGAAGTACATACATACTTTTGGGGTTTGGACGTAAACAGTTCACTTTATATGAGCGACGGTGTTGATTCTGGTCCACAGGATCATGTTTGCACGATGATATACACATTTGAGGACTTCACATAATGGCCAACATCATGTAGCAAGATTCGTGAATCGAGCAATCGCGGCCGAACCGCAGGTATCATTGCATTGCCATTTCTCAATCTCGGTTTGCCTAGACAGTAGCAATGCTCTCAACTTTTCATGACCACACGCTGGAAATGCTTTTTCTCTGTGCCTCCTCCGTTCTCGAAGGCTCCCTGGCGCAGCGTGTGATTCATGTGCCATATGGTTGGTTCCATGGCCTGAAAGCTCATGACAACCACACGACTTCCAAAACAAACCCAACTTTGACTCCGTGTATAAGTCTGAAGACAGACTATTGATATTGTTTTCGTTCACAGTGGTATCTTTCTCGCCAAACATCCATCGTGTCCCAAAAATTTCATCTCAACCGGCAACCAGGGGTATTCTTCGTTTTTTTGGTCTCAGCTTTTCGTTACATGACTGGGTATAAGGAGTGGACGTCAAGTCATCAAAAGAGAACCCCTGATTCCATATAGACCAGGAAAAAGCAAAAAGTAACATAATATAAAAAACAAGAAAGCACTCAAACGCAAATCAGGTAAAACAAACATGGCAAGACGTTAACCGACCGATGCACAAGTCGACGTTCCAGGGTATTTTTACGCCAGGGTATATCCAGCCGGGGTATTTGCATGTAGAGGTTCTAACACGGGGGAATCTAACGGAAAGGCCCAATAGGGGCGGGGTATCCTGAATTCATAGAATGAGAAGTGGAAGGGCGCCCGCTGTCGCCAGACGCGCGGGTGCTGTGGCGAGGTGTGACATCGCCAGGTTGAGGAATGGACAATTTGTTGTCCATGTGAGTGCCGAAGGTTCGAGGAGCCCAAGGATTGTCGTCGTCGGGGAGATTGACGCCACTGTCGTTCCAGGGGTTTCGGTCGGCATTGAAGCTGCGGGTCGATTCGATCGAAATGAGCGAAGACTTAGAGACGTTGCTTGAACCCTTGAAAAAGTTACTGTTGCCAGAATGAGAGCTGTTCTTTCTACGGTCCAAGAAAGATGAAATTGACGTCATACTGCCAGGCTTTCGGAGACGGTCCAGAATGCTGCTTCGCTCGCGAGCGACTTCATCGCCAAAGCCAGTCTTAATAGGAGAATCAGTGGCGACAGGTGCAGGAGCGTGCTGTAAAAGCTTAGAGTCGAAATACCGCAGAGAATCTTCGAACGAATCGGACTTGGGGCGGGGGAGAGCGCCCTTCACGACATTGATCTCAGCTCCGGAAGTTGCGAATTGAGACTGAATGAAGTCCATAGCATCACGGAGACCACCGGCGTTGTTGCGGGTGAACCCCCAAAGAAGAGTGACCGTAGGCTCGCCGCTCTCGGTGAGCTCGTCGGGGTTCTGCCTGACGCTGAGTTCAACCTCATGCTGGGCTTTCAGCTTGGGCACGAGGTCATGAGCGAATTCAGGAGACCCGAGGAATTTGACCAGCTCAGGAGTTCTGGCGAGAACAAGCTCATGCTTATCTGGGACCATGCCGAGAAACTCATCGACACAGTGGGGAACCTGCCACTGTGGACCGTTAACAGTAACTTCATCACTGGCTTGCTCAGTGCTGGGAAAGTTGATCTTGCAGTTGTACTTCTGCTCCAGGTCATCGATCTCGGGAAGTCTAGCAATAAGCTGGCGATGATAGAGGCGGTCAACGCTGACAATCTGAGATGTGTACTCAGAATCCTATCGATGCTGTTAGCATTGAGCAAACGGTGGCATCAAGTGACACTTACGGCACGATCGACCATCTCCAAGATCTCGTTCTTGACAGCGTCCAGATTCTGGGCGTTTCGAGCTGGTGTGCGGCAGATGACATTATCGACTTTGATATCGTCGTCTTCTCGACCCATTCCGCCTGTATCAAGGTTAGTAAGCTTATACCTGATAGTGCAGCAACGGCGATTCTGACCTCTATCCATAGCATTGGAGAACTTGACAAAGACTGAGTGCTTCTTCATGATGCGCTGGATATGCTGACCACCAATGCCGATGATGCGTTTGTGGTACTGATCCGGCACATGGAACGAAATAGATGCAGGCATTTCTTGCTCCACAAGAGTGAGGCCCTGCTTCATGGACTCATAAGTTGCTGCCATGACATCAATGTTGAAGTTGTACTCATTGAAACCATCGAAAATGATCTGCACATTGCTCTGTCCCATTATCTTGTTGATTTTGCCATTCTTTTTGCCACTGACGAATTCCTTGTGCTCGTTGGCAAGCTCAATCTTGACGCGGATCTGGTACTGAGATTGAGAAATGAACTTCATCTCCGAAATGACTTGAAGAGCTGTCTTGACAGCGTCATCAGAGCCAGTGATGGTGAAACTCAGTTTATCGAAGGAAAGGTCGGCATCGGAGTTGGCGCAGATATCAACGAGCAAACTCTTGATGTCGTTGGGGTAAGGGAATTGCCTGGCATCAGCCGGCTGAATGAACCATCCCGCACTGTAGAATTGACCAGCCTGTGCTAAAGTTAGCGAGATGTCTATTCGAAGTCAGACATTACTTACCAAGGACATGATCTCTCGCACAGTTCGCTCAACGTGAAGACCTTCGCTTCCTTGAACTCGGACCATGTTACGCTGAGTAGCCAGGGGAGGGAACATGATGAAGGTGCCGTTGGCCTCGAGAATCTTCCGGACCTTATCTAGACGACCAAGCAGAATACTGTCGATCTTGGCAGCAGGAATTGTGACGTCCTTAACGTACAATCTGATGCGCTGGACAGTTTCGTGCAGTTTCTGTTTTGCTAATTCAATAGCTTGGGGCGTTTCGCCAGTGATAAAAATATCGTTGGGGTCACGGCGAGTGGCTTTAGGAGGACAGTAGCGGTACATTGCCGAGAACGGGGGTGGGAAGTAGATGGCAGTTCCAGTGGAAGACTCAATGAGCTTGATATTCTTGCGATGTCGGCCACAGACAAGCTGGTGGAGGGAAGCCTCAAGTTTGGTACCATCGACAATTCGGCCGAGCTGCGTAAGTGTTAGAACGGCACATAAGTATGATTAAGCAGGAAACAGTACCAGAGTATCGATGTGGATCAGAACACGAGCCTTGGCGTGCTCGGATGATAGTATATCACCGTAGATAGCAACTCTCCAGCGCTGATCCATGCGTAATTCAGCATCACCAGTCATACCGTCCACAACAGGGGTCAGCTTAGGGCCAAGAAGGAAGATATCTACGCCACAGAAGGTGGAGATGTAATCGAGGGTATCAGTGACAGGCTTTTTGAGCACTCCGGCATTGAGATCGCAGACGAGTTGACCATCGATATCAATGGTGGTGCAGCGCTGTGAAAAAGTTAGAGAAGAGCCTCGACTTGTCCCGGGAAAGCCCAAGGGTATATGCGTAGGAACATACAAGAGAAATTGGGGTATCATTCAAAATAGTCTCTCGGCTCTTGTGGACCAGCTCTGGAGAGCCCGAGAGACAAACAGTAGCAACCTGTTGGCCTTTTCCGCCCTTGAGCATTGTTGACAGGACATATGCCTCAACAGGAAGCGGCCCGTTGGTAATCTCCTGGCACATCCTGTGGAGGTTGTTCAGGTTCTGAACATGGATAGGCAGCTCGTGAATCTGGACGTCGTCCGGCGCGTCCTCGGGGTGTGTCCATCGCAGGACAGCGTCAGTGGTCGCGTGAAGAATGTCCTCAGTATCGGGGCCCGCAAGATCGGAAGCGAATGGGATATTGAAAGAGTAGAGAATGGTGGCATCGGCGGCTTGAGGGGAAGCCATGGGCTGACCGGGTTGAGCGGCGTTCTTGGGATGGTTGAGGGCATTCATGGGCATATTAGGACGGCCCATAACGAAGTTGGGAGCCATTCTTTCCGACCAGTGACGCATATTTGCCAACTTATTCATGATGAGTATCGAGAAAGTTGCGTTGTTGGTGTCGTCGTCGTCGTCCGAATCGTGGGCGGGCGGCGACGGTCGGCCAAGGTGGAGGAGGCTGAACGGAAGAGGACGCCGGGGGTGGAGAAGAGCCAAAGAGAAGAGAATACAAAGATGATGCGAGATTGATCAAGAGAAAGCGAAAACTGTATGGGTATCGAAGAAGCTGAGGTCAAGAAAGGGCTGTGAGGATGGGGGGGAAGGGGGTAAGGGTAGGGGAAGGGGAAAGAAAGAGAGATGGTGGTATTTGTGAGCTCTTTCCACGTCTGACGAGGGAGGGAGAGAGAGGTTAGGTTAGGTAGGTTGAGTGGAGGTTGACTGAGGTGAGGTGAGGTGAGGTGAAGTGAGGGAAGTGGAAGGGGGGAGGATAAGGTATAGTTAGCGGAGCCAGGCGTAAAAGCGAGGAACGTCAGGCCAAGTCCAGTCAGTCAAGTCAGCAAAGACGTACCTACCCTCTGTACCATACCTACCGTCCGTACCTGCTCGAGTACCTTACAAGACACGAAAGTGGGTGATGAGCCAGGCGGCAGGTACAGCTGCTTAGTGCCCTGGTCCGCCTACCGTAACTTGCCAGGGAAGTAACTGGGGGGAGATTTAAAAGAGGGCCCTAGCACGCTGGGACTAAACCCGAAGGCCTGT